CTTAATTTAGCTCGTCGTCACCGGTCATCAAGTTGTCACCAACACTCACCGATGTAGACTTCGAACTTCAACGTAAGTGATTTTCATGTAAATGATTTCGAAAATAGGGTAGTGGCTTCTTGAAATTTGGTTTATTGTAAATGGTATGATTTTTGTGAAAGATTATTTGATATCTCAAGTATTACCGAAGAAAAAATCTCAATATTCAAAAGTTGAGTAACTTCGTTTATGTCTCATTTGTTTATATAAATAAGACTAATAGAGCACGACATATTTACTTCATTACATTTATTTTCTGGTAATACCCGAATTATCCAAACCCGACCTACTACCCGAATTAACCGAATTTAATTTGGTTAGGGTAATGAGTATCTTTTTTAACATGAAAACCCGAATGGTCCGACCCGAATTACCCAAAACTCAAAAAATTATCCGATCAACACAATTAGGTTGGACGATGTACCATGCGGGAAAGGTAAAACTTAAAATGAGCCTAAACTGCATCTAGGAACACTATATTATGGATGCGGTATATGGTGTGCGGATTAGAGTATTTATATACTAAAAATTTATAAAAGTAAATATATTAATATTGATAGTTTTAATGGTTTTATTTCCTTATAAAACCAATATAATATTTTTTTTTAATTATTTTTTAAAAAGAAATTAAAAAAGTAAAAGATAGTTAGATGTGACAATTTCCTGGTTTTAATGAGTTGGTGGAAAGTTGTAACATAACAAAAAAATGAATGGTGAAAAATAAATATACTGTTCATTATTATCAGTATAAGGTGTGAGACCGGTATATTACACGAGTTGATTAAAAAAGTTAAATATAAGGTGTAGACATTACGTATTTTTTAAAGTAAAATTTTGAAATAAATATAAATGAAATGATGAATAAGTAATTCAATCTATACTAATAAAAAATTATTATCATATTTTAAATAATCATGTTGAATATGAATATGTAAAAAACTAAGTATTTTTAAAAGTAAACTTTCGAAATAAAAACAATAAATAGAATAAACCACAAGGACTATTTATGTAATTTGTCTTAATGATTTTCTAATATATACCACGTAACATTAAATATCATAATTAAATATGAAATTCATTTATTATAAGGAATATTGTCATAATAATGTGAAATAAAATAATAATCTCCATGATAAATGAATTTCATATTTAATTATGGTAATATTTGTGCTATTTAATGCTTATTATATGTGTCATTAGGCTACATATTAGAAAATCTCTGAGATTTTCTAATATGTACCCTAATGACACATATAAAAAGCATTAAATATCATAAATATTACCATAATTAAATATGAAATTCGTTTATTATAAAGAATATTGTCATAATAAAATGTGAAATAAATTAATAATGTCCATAATAAATTAATTTCATATTTAATTATCGGAACTAGGTATGAAACTCGTGTATTACACGGGTTGATTAAAAAAATATATCAAAGTTTAAATATTAAGAATTTTTTAAGATAAAATTTCAAAATATTTAGACATATTCAACTAATGAATAAATAGAATCACCATTGAGAATATCATCCATAATATCAATGATTGTTTTGTCATATTCATTAAATTTATTTTCATATGCAATGTATTTTAATATATGTTATATATTTTTTAAGATTCTTTTCATTTATTATCTCATTAAATGTATTTAATACTTTACATATATAAATTTAGTATTATGTGGTATATTAATGGATTAATTCAAAAAATCATAAAATGGCATGTGGATTTAAATTTAATCAAAAAACTTACAAAATTACATGTGGCAAATTTAATGAGAAGATGACATTTGACAAACTATTCTTCGTTTATTAGGATAGATATTTGTGATATTTAATGATTCTTATATGTACCTTTAGGGCACATATTAGAAAGTTCATTCCTGAGATTTTTTAATATGTACCCTAAGGACACATATAAAAAACATTAAATATCATAAATATTACCATAATTAAATATGAAATTCATTTATTATAAGGAATATTGTCATAATAAAATGTGAAATAAATTAATAATCTTCGTAATAAATGAATTTCATATTTAATTATGATAATATTTGTGATATTTAATGTTTTTTATATTTGTCATTAGGATACATATTAAAAAATCTCACCCTAATGGCATATATAAAAAACAGTAAATATCATAAATATTATCATAATTAAATATGAAATAAATTAATAATCTCCTAAATTAATTTCATATTTAATTATGGTAATATTTGTAATATTTAATGATTCTAATATATGCCTTCAGGATATATATTAGAAAATTCATTCCTAATAAAACTAATTAATATAAATTCATAAATGAAATTTATTAATATATTAATAGAAATAAAAATTCACAAATATAAAAAAAATAACATGTGTTTGACATTTAACAAAATTATTGTTATTTGGGTAAAAAAAAAAAAAATCTAATAAAAGCTTCTCAAAATTAATCGTAAGTCATACGCAAAAAAGGGCCTTAAAAGTGTATCTCACGTTTTATAACATAAATACACAACTTGGTTCCTGATTATTATTAAAAAAGACTTTGAAAAGTCATGTTGATAAATTGATATCCGTATAAATATTTCTCATTATTTTATCACAACAGTCATCGTCACCTCTCTCGCAAGTTACACAGTCAAACCTCAAAATTTTCATCCATAACCAAAGCATCTGCAACAAGAAAGAAAGAAACCCTCTTTCAAAAGCTCTCTCTCTTGATTTCGTCTCCGTAATCATATTCCCCAATCCTATCAAAAAAGCGATTCAGAAACCCGGAAGCCATGGAAGAAGATCAAGATATTGTCGTTTCACTGAAAACCCTTGATTTGCAAGAGCAAACTCAGAAAGAACCTGATTCAGAACCCACGATGGAGTCAGAATCTTCACATGCGCGGCCGCCTAGTTTGGTGGAGGTAGAGGAAATAACTGGATACAGTTTTAGAAACAAGGAGTTGCTGAAGGAGGCTTTCACTCATGGTTCTTACAAAGCCGACGACTGCAAATCTTACGAGCGACTCGAGTTCTTAGGCGACTCGGTTTTGAATCATTTAATTGCTAAGCTACATTATTTATTGTATCCTGATATGGCTCCCGGTGAGTTGACTCGGTTGCGTGCCGCCAATGTCGACACGGAGGCGTTAGCGAGGGCGGCGTTGAAATACAATTTGCATAAGTTTCTTCGTCACCAGAAACCTCTTCTTCAACAACAGGTAATTTTCGTTTTCAATTTCTGCTTCATCGTTTTCAATTTCTACTCCATGATTCATTGCTAAAAAAATCTCAATCACACGAGATGTTCATGACTACTTCTCAATCGCACGAGATGTTCAAGAGGAGGTCGTAGATACGAGATGTTATGTCACTTTTTAGTTTTTTGTTCCACTGTTCTTAATTACAAATTTAAGCAATTCGATTCTGATAATTTTTTTTGAGAATGATCAGATCCAAGAATTCATGGAAGGGATAGAACAGTACCCATCGCATTCATATGGTATGATCGATCCACCCAAAGTGCTTGCTGATCTTCTGGAGTCACTAACCGGTGCCATCTTCATTGATACAGACTCGTCAATGGATTCTACATGGGAGGTAATTAATTACTTGCATATGCATCTATCAGAATTTCCTGGTTTCAATTCGTGGGTCCCTTCTCATGATAGATGAAAAGTTGTAGAATATATATATATATATATATATATATATATATATATATATATATATATATATATATATATATATATTGTCTTTATGCATGGTGAATAGTGATGTTGGTGAAAACTCCAATCTTGGGGGGGTTTTTTTCAGGTGGTGGAGCGGTTGTTACAGCCCCTAATCACGCCGGAAAACTTGAAGCTGCATCCTGTAGCAAAGTTCAATGAAGCGTGTCAGAAGATGGGGGTGAAACCACAAGCGAAAGATCTGTGGAATAAAACAGGGGAAATTGAAATTTACATAGAGAATGAGTTGATTGGAAGGGGAAAATACAAGTTGAAGAAGATGATTGCAGTGAACAGAGCAGCAGATGATGCATACAATAATCATTTTCTTTTTGAGAAGAAAGATGGTGGAAATGGAGGCTAATCAACATGAATCACCATTACTCTTTTGTATCAAATTAAATGAGCTTTTTTTGCCTTTGTTAATTCACCAAGGGAAAAAGCTCATTTATTTTGGAACGAAGTGAGTGATTTCTTAATAATCTGTCTGCTTTATTGTTTCTTTCTTAATAGACTCCATGCCTTTTTTCTATTATGGTAACCATGTTTTTTTCATCTTTACTTTCTTGTGACTTTTCTTACTATAAGAGTTGAATGCCATTTGTGGCTTGATTATATGCTTTTTTTCTTTACTCCAATTTACTTCTAGCATTTGTTATCAAAGATTAATATGGCTAATTTGGATGACACCCTTCAATCTCCATGTGAAGCTAAATTAAAGTATCCATCATTGCATTCCATGTACATATTTCCTTTTTTACTAATTAAGTTTCCAAATACTTTTGTCCATATTGTAAAAGATATCAATGATGTACCGATGAAAGAACTTATTTGATTCTGGTTCTTGATGATATACCTATGTCTTTGCTTGTAACAGCACTCCAAGCAAAAAAAGAGCACTAACTTATGTGGCTTCGTAATAGAAAACTAAAAACCAAACTGTAATAAGTAATTGTAGCTAGGGATTCCAATGTTATCACTTTTGAAACAACTTAGTAATAGAAAACTAAAAACCAAACTGTAATAGCAAGAGGCTAGAATTACAAGAAGCTTGAACATTCTCTACTTGGACAATGCACCAACACTACTAGAATTTGAGGTATAAGCGACGGATTAGTGATGGATTTAGCGACGGAATAGTGATGACACAAATCACTTAAGGAACCTCAAATAACCATCGTTAATCTGTCGCTAATGTCCGGCGCTGATTATAAGTAAATGAACAATTTTCTGTTTTAACAATGGTGTAGTTGGTGTCGAATCTATTGTCATTCCATACAAGAATTCACAAATGTAATTTAAATGTTGAAACCCAAAAACAAAACATTAACATTGGAATACAAAATAGATATTAATATTTGATTAGCAAAATAAAAATTCATATTCGATTTTAAAGAATTGAAACCAAATCACAAAAATCAAAAGTGTCGAAGTATAGTTAGATGGGTAATCTTGGCAATTTCTTGTTTTTTGTCGAAAATTCTTCACGTTCCTCTTAAGCGATTCCTTCATCTCATCCCTATTACGATCAACAATAACCTACAAAGCAAAAATAACCAATTTGACACCTTATTAAACATCAAATCATATCATTCAACTAATAGCAACATAGTTTCAACTTGAAAAAAAAAACTACATAAAATGAATAATAGCAACATGATTTAAACTTGGAAAAAATCTAGCAACAATTAATTGCAATCGTATATTCATCTAATAAAAAAACTAGCAACAATTAATAGCAAAGTACTTTCAAGGGTATAATTAATTGCCAGTTTCTTCTGTCACTATAGGTCTAGAAACAATCATTTTTTTGTCACTGTAAAATTGATTTTAAGGGTATAATTGACATTATTCGAATGTAGTCATATCGCAAGAGTAAAACAAGTTTATACAGCAACTTTTGCTTTAACTTTTCACCATTATATTGAATTAAATACATATAAAATGTAATATCTTCATGTTTGCAGCTTTTTGCCTTTTAATAATCATAACTCAATATTTTCAACTTTGAATCCACAAGATCTTTTTTGTTTTAACATTAATAAACAATACATATTCAATTAATTACTAGTTCAACATGTTCTTTATTTACGTTACTAGATCTAAGGTTGTAACTTTTCTAGAATATTAATAATAAGTTGAACTAACTTTCAAAACAAGATTACAAATGATTATTAATGAATACCTGTGTGTCCACCACCAGCAGCAACATGTATAGAGCACATAAATTCATCAAGTTCATGCATAAGAAGCCATTGAAACCCTAATAGATGGTTCACCACTTCTCACCTGTGCAATGAGAACTTGTCATGTCATTGAGGCCATAATAGAAGTTACCTACAAGATCTTTCGCCAAGTTTTTTTTTTCTGTATAACACATGAGCAAGATTTCCCACATTATAATTCTGCAACAAGTAATGCAAACTTAAAATAAGTATATATCTTATTTTCTCCATAAGAGTCAAAAATTACGATATACCTTAAACATGGAAACTTGAACGTGATGAAATTTCTTCTGGAGGAAATCTCCATGTTCCAAATCTACAACACTGGCAAAACATTTACTACTTAAATTCATCTCCTTCTTCACTTCCTCTACATCTCCACCTTTTGTTTTTATGAAATAAAAATACATGTTAGACAGATAGAGAGAAAAACCTTGGTGTTGAGGAATCAGGATTTTGGTGAGAGAGGCTCAGGCGGTGGATCAATGGATTTCAGCCTCGGCTATTGATGCAGTGGTTGGAAAGAATCAAAGTCGGTGGTCTCATTTATCCCGTGTTCATGTTTCTCTCTCTTTCATTTGCTTTTTTCTCAGATTTAAAAGTAGAACCGGAGAAAAAATCCACAAATTAAACCAAGAATCCATTGAATCAACAACACATTACCTAAAGAAAAGAAGTCGAAGACTTACAAACTTACTATGGTGAAGCGTTATTGACAAGAAGGGCCGTCGTGGAATCGAGGGTTTTGGCTAGGGTTTCTTCTTCTCTTGGAATCGAGTTTCAAGAACGGTAAGAAGATGAATATCGGTAGTCGATTTGGGATGTGAGGGACAATTTAGGAGATGGGTGTCGATTTGGACTCTGGATTTCATAAAGAAGCATGAGATGTGAGCGTCGATTTAGGAGGGAGAATGGGGTAATGAAAATAATTGAGAGGGAAAAACTGTGGAAGCGAAATATTTGGGAGGGAAGTAAAAACAATCAGCGACTGATAATATGCTAAAATTTACGCTTTATGCATACAAAATGACATCCGTCACTTATCCTTAATAAATCCGTCGCTAATTAGCTAGGGATTTTTTTTGTAATCGTTGATGCCTCATTTTCTAGTCGTGTTAGTACGTAGTTAAAAAGCTAGTTGTCAAATAAAAAATTAGTTGATTGCTGAAAAACTAATTGATAAAAATAATGTTTGATAAATATAACTAAAAAATATGAAATAACATAAAGGAACATTAAAAAAATGTGTTTTTTATAATTAATGAAGGGGTATATTTGAAATTTAAAAAAAAAAAAAAAAACTAGTCTAACTAATTTTCTAAAAAACTAACTTATAAACTACTTTTTGCCTTGGCAAACATAACAACTTAAAAAAACTGGAAAAATAAACTAATTTTTAGCTAACTATAACGCGTCAAACACAATCTAATTCATTAAATAGTTTGCTACCTATTTATCATATTAACCCTTCAGTTTACATATTAACCGGTCTATAAGAGGTAGAGCGGTAGTTTTTTTTTTTTTTTTAACAAATATATTTAGAACTTACATTTTGGTTAAAAATATATATTAAATAATGTTTCCCTTAACAATTTAATTTGTTTGTTACTCATTTTTTACATTAATCGTGTACAACATAAGAAATTGTTATTTATTACACCAATATTTACATATAATATAGTTCACTATATTTTTATTTGCCTAATTGATAGTTGTTTTGTATAATCAATGGGTAATCCTTCCTAATAAATAAATAAAAAAAATTTACTTATTAATTTCTTATTCATTTTGATACATGTAATTTTGTGGTTAATTCTTAGAAATTAATTTGCACTTGTCATTTTGTGGTAATTTTTAATTTTCTTAATTAATTATCTAATTTTTAGGTTATAAAAAGTAATTAATGTGTCATTAATTTGTTTCTTTATATTTTTAAATTTAATATGTTTCCTTCTATATATATATATATATATATATATATATATATATATATATATATATATATATATATATATATATATATATATATATATATATATATATATATATATATATATATATATATATATATAAAAGTGGGTTCGTGTACAAATGAGAGTAAGATGTGAAAATGGTAAGAACGAATAGGAAAGAACCATGTGTATTAAAGTAGTTGTTGTTTTTATTTCACACGTAATCGTTTGTTTTTTATAAATTTTTTAATTAAAAGGTTATAAATGTAATTTTATTTTGTAGTTATTTTTTTTTAATCTAACCGTCATTGACAAGTGAGTAGTCGGTTTTCAAATTGATGTAACCGTTTGTGCGTAATTGTTTCAAGGTCTACATTTATGTTGTTTGAAATTTTATTCAGAGGGTTTTCTTTTAGTTTTATCTATATTAGATTATGTATTTCAACATTATTCAACATAATGTTTGTGTTTAAAGCTTTGTTAGATGCGAAAGTGAACAGGAATAGGCAAAGTTCGAATTCGAAACTCATGAAGAAATATACAATTGCATCACAACGAATGATATCCAGGAAGAAGGATTATTTAAATGAGAATGTGGTTAAAGTTGATTGCATGGTTAATTCTCGTGATCATCCTATAGAAATAGAAGATGATGAAGTATCTGAAGGGAAAAAATTTATATATGATGAAGTTAAGAAGGAGAGTAAGTTATGATGTGTTGTTGTTAATGTTTTTCAAATTGACTTATTTTATCATTTTTCGGTTTGATTTTGTTATGCCTGCATGTGTAGATGATGAGAGTCCAATTGAGATTTATTCCAGTAATTCTAGGAATAAGACAATTGACATTTCATCTAGTAATTCTTGGAAGAAGAAAAAGCCAAGGAATAATGTTAGTCAGTCTGATTATAGTTCGATGAAAAAGAGAAAACATGGTTTGTTTGGTCGATTAAATTCAAAATCATCTGATTCAGAAGGTAATTTTTTATTGTGTGGTTATTATTTAAGTTTATTATTAATGTAGATTATAATTTTTTTTTGTTGGACATAATTTAGATTATGTAAGTGATTCTGATTTTGAAGTTCGGAGCATTACAATGAGCAGGAAGTTGGTTAACAGAAGTGTTAGAAAAGTTAGTAAAACATTTGTCTCCGAACATGGTAAACTTGAATATAATGTTACTTATTTATTGTGTTATTTATTTAATGGTTATGTTTTATTAATGTTTTTATATTATTTTACATCGTTTGTATGTTGATAATTTTGTTGTAGAGTTTTCTAGTGATTCTGATTTTGAGGATGGTTCCAGTAGTAGTGTGAAGAGGGTGGATAATATAGCTGATAAGAAAGTTAAAAAGAAAATGGAGTTGCATAGTGATAAAATAAAGTCATTGTATTCTCGTGTTTCTCTTCATTCTATATATGGTGCTGCGAAGTCAATGAATCATAAGCAAAAAGAATGTGTGAGAAAATCTGAACCCTTTTGGGATCAACAAAATGAGAAAATCTCACTCGATCTGTATGACTATATGTTTTCATCTTAAACACAAAATCCTTGATGTTTCTTATACAAAAGCTACAATACCACCCTAGATCCGCTAACAAATAGTAGGTTTGTTTGTAATGAACGTTTCTCATTTTCCCCTTTTGATATTGGTAAACAGATGATTGATGGTATGAGCAATCGGGATTTCATTGACATCCGACATTATCAACAAATCACCATCTTCAATTCTGAGAAGATGATCGAGCGCCAATCGTTGACACGCCTCTTCGATAAATGAATTCTCCTCATTTCTAAATCGTCCGCCAATTGTCCTGTAGGTTAATCCAGGTTAAATGAAATCAAAATTTCTCATTTGATTACGAAATAGTGGAGTTTGGGGAGGCTCGTGAAGGAGGAATTCGTTTCGAGAAAAACAAATTAAGTGATGTATATAGATTCGAGTGCTTCAAAACAAATTTCGAAAGTAACCTAAAAGATGGAGTGATGTAGATATTGTTGTTGAAGAGAACGTCGTATACTTTTTGAGGGTAAACAAGGACTTCCCAACCATAGAGTTTGCAGAGTGACGCCATTATAGTAACGAGGCAGATTTGCAGTGGAGGTTCTTGCATTTGTAAGTCAATTTCGCATTAACTTTGTTTAAGTGTTCTTGATTTTGTTCCTTGCTTTTCTCTTTGATAAAGAAGATGATGTTCGATTTTGTGCTTAAGCGTAATAACTCTTGGCTTGCGTGGCAACGATGAGTCGACTCACCATTGAGTCATTGTTGATTCACATGCTTAGTTGACATTTGACAAGGTAGTGTAACCTTCAAAAATGGGTAAAGGTACGAAATCAACCTATAAAACACAAGTTCATACCCTATTTAAAAAAAAAAAAAAAAAAAATCACGAGAAGTCATTTAAACCAATATACGAAATATTGTTGTGTTACAGTGACAATAACTCAAGAATAAAGTATGGACTTACCTCATATACAAATTAATAAAATTTATCTTGGAATATTACATCGTGTTTCTTGTTCAAGGTTTCACACACAAGAAAGGTACACTACGTATATACTATAAATACAATATTAGATCAGACAAGAATTTATACTAGAGACATGTTTCGATAAGAAAGAGTTTATAGTCAACCCGCTATGTATAAATACAATAGATAAGACACATGATAAGGCATTTATCAAGCAACCAAAGAATTTATTAAATTGTGTTTGTCTACGAAAGTCAAAATCAACGGGCCAATATTTATTGACCTTTACCACATTTTTCTTAACTTCTATATACACACGCATGCCCACAAATTATATGTTGATCGTGAAATCTCTAGTTGATGAGGGTTAGGTATTAGGAGTCTCGTTCTCACACATTAAAATACATTTATCTTTTCATAAATTATTGATTAATATACGTACGTAAAATTTTGAATCAGCATGCGTATTTCATTTGTATGTTACATTGGACATTTGTCAAAACAATAGCAAGAAAATTATATAGAAAGCGTCTGCATTTTCTTTAAACTGGACATTTCGATGTTTATTATTCATTTGATTTATTTTCTAAATATTTTTGTCTTAGTGTTTGACTGTTATTTCGTTGATATTAGAAATTTCATGTGTGTCATGATGTGTTGACGTCGTTGTAAATGTAAATATCGCTACATTTTTCAACAGGTTTGGATGTTTAAGTTATAAGCATTTTTTGTTTTCTTGTTTCTTTCCAGAAGATAATTTGTAACTTATATATATATATATATATATATATATATATATATATATATATATATATATATATATATATATATATATATATATATATGGTTGGGTTCATTTGAGACCACCTATATTTTGTGAGACATGAGGATCAAATCTTAGCCCTCGATCAAAATTAATGTGATTCAGATTTAATCAAAAAAAAAAAAAAAAAAAAAAAAAAAACTGGCGGTGGTAGTTTGTGTAAATAACACAAACTTTGTAATTAACTGGAAAACACAGAGGGGTAGAAACGTAACCTGGCACATTCACAAACACATTCATATGCTTTTCATTTCCCAAGACCCTTTCATCGATCGAAAACCCTTCAATCACAAATTTGTTTCGGATTAACCCTAAATCGATTGAAAAGTCGAGTTCTTTATTCTGATTCTAGCTCGAATTCATACTCGAAAACAAATCATAACTGATTTATGTAGCCAAAAACGATTAGAAAACCCTCGATCAATCTCGATTATCAACAAACTCTTATTCCTTCAAATTCATAACTTCAACCTTCTTATTCAATCTCGATTATCAACCATTCCTTCACAAAACAAGTATTAATTCAAGCTATTCAAATTTCAGATTGTGTAATTGAATCGATGAATAATTCAGGGTTGTACAAATTCTAAGTTGAAGAACCCTAGTATATCAAATCAAAACCGTAGATCATATCCTCGTTGTTAACCATTCTCCCAATTGAAGCAAAGTGAAGCAAAGAGAGTTAATTTCGTTTTCTTGTTTAAAAAATCCGAAGATCAAATCTAGAAGATCACTGAGGAATCAAAATCATATATACAGGCTCTTGCTTTCCTTAATCTATCATCCTTTAACTTCACATTAACCCTATCCTTCTAAATAGGAGGAATCGACGACCATTTAAAATCATAAACCTTAATTATGTTATTCAGATTGTTTCATTATAGTTTTTAGAATCGACTTTAGAACTCATACCCATCAAAGGCTTTGATTTCATCTTTCAACAATGCCTTATTCGAGAGAATCGGATTCCAATTCCTCTTCTCAAGATAAAAGATGAATCACCAATGTCATTATATGAAGTAGATAGAGTGAATAAAATAACATGTACTGAAGTCTAGTCTAAAGAACCAAAGAGAAATAACTGATTCAAAAAGAAAGGACATAAAGTTATTTTCCAACAAAAACTCAATTATTAGCTTTCAAAACAATATTCTACTAGTTCTGATTTTGTATAGTACAATATCTAATCATCATGTTTTGTTTTGT